CCTGTTGCCGCTTTGAGTTTCTTAACTATTCTTAACTAATACGGGCCACATTATTGGGTAGTTCCCAAAACTAAGGTTCCATGTGGTTTACACGTTATTTGACGGCACCTACTGAGAAAAAGGGGTACCAAGATGGGACTCTAACTTTGGGAACTACCCGTTGAAGGGTCGCAAGCAAAATAATTTTGACGAACCCCCCTTCTAGATTTATACTATCCATAACCCAAAACCCTACAATGTGGAAACAAACCCCAAACCCTAAGCTTCTGTGGAAGCGGGGCTTCTAGATTTTGACGTCCAATTATTTTCGCCGGGCATGCTCATCAAACGCTGCTACTTGGCGGTTGAGGGAACGTAACGGCCAAGTATACGTGTAAATGTACGCATCCCAATTATAACAATAATAAAGGCACTACAGGGCTGATGAATAGGCTACACCTACAGCCATTTAAGTAAGCTATACCCCGCAAAGGTCAAAGTATTTGCAATGTCACCTTCTATTCGGTCTTGTTTGAGGATGACGTTTCCCAAAATTGAGGGTAGATAAGTGTTATATCGGGTTACGTAGCGTTACATAGGGGTCTAGAAGGACATGTAAGCCTTCGGATTTCCAACCATTAGGGATCTGTCATTGTTTCAACTTCCGTGCCTACTTTGCGTCTCGGGTTTAAGGACTCAGGCTTACGGCTTAAGCATTACAACTCGCAATTTGTTAGCACCTATACGGGAACCCCACTTCTGGAAACCTCATGGAATCAGCCTTTGAACTTTGGACCTTGGGGCGACCCTCTGGCAACTTCTCCTCCGGTATCTCTGGACAATCCCGGACATCGAAGGGGCACTCCAACCTAGGAAGAGTTGGGTTAAGGGTATAGGGTTTGGGGGCTTCCAAAAATGGTGGGTTTATTCTTGCTGGTTTCTTAGATTGAGGACCATAATAGAACGGGTTTATGTAAAGGGTAAGCCTTTATTGCGGAGGAACCCACTTAGGGCTTAGGGTTTCAGAGAATGGGGTATCAGTGTTCAAGGTTTATAGCGTCTCGGATTCAAATCCTTGCGCCTTCAACCCTAAACGAAGAAGCAGGAGGGATCTGGAGCTACAACTCGAAGCTTGGAATAACTTAACTTAAGTTCCTTAAAACCCTATATTCCCCCAGTTTCCATTTCATTTTCCATTTTCTTTTCCATTTGATTCTCCATTATAGGGGGATAATCCCTTAATTTAAATTTGATGGATCTCGGGCCTAAGCTTTCAGCTTCAGGATCCAAGCTTTGGGTGGGGCGCCTTGCAGAACAGCGATTTTGATCTTTTTATCCTGAAGCTCCTTAAAGGGGGGTTATATAGGGGAGTATATAGGGGAGAATTATAGGGTTTGGGGTTTAGGGTTGCAGGTGGATTTCTACTCGAATTGCACTAGCACAAAGAAAGTGCGGATCTTGTTTGGACCTCGGTACAACCCTCACAAACACGTTGCCGTCAAGCAAACAAAAACATTCGAAATACTAAGACATGAGAGACCTTTGTTTTTATTTTCTAGGACCTACATGCTGTGAAAACAAAACTTGACTTGATGTTCTTCAGGCAGAAGTTTGCTCGTGTTTTCCAAAATCACCTAACCTTAACCCCAAGCACGTTTTACCTGGAAAAGATTTCGCGCCTCGGGTGCGAGACGTGAGCAACAACATGACTAGCTAAAGCAGAAGCCTACGAGACTGCCAAGAATATGGTTCCAATGCCTTGTATGATCATGGTATATTGCCTCAAACAAGCCTTAAAACAACATTGGTACCTCCCTTTTGCCGCTAGATTACGATCATGGCAAGATTTTGCGCGATGAGTCACCTACTCCATGCAAAGGTTTCAGGATAAGTTCGCCACCATGTGTTACACTTACAAAACTGGAGAGGTGCCACAGCAGCGTATCATGAATCGACAACATGCGGCAAATCGTGGGGTGTACCTAATTAGATGATGCTGGTAACCTCAAACCTATTTTGGACACATGATAGTGATAGGATCCTTGTTTTGGGGGTCAGGGTTACCTTAAACTCACATCCTAGCACTGAGACCTGCAACCTCTACACGCGAAACAGCTGAAACTTCTAGCGCACATCCTAGGACTTTGAACGCAAAAATTATAAGCAACATTTTACAAACGCTATGTTCAAAACAGTGGACTAATCCTCGAACCTCCGAAGCAGGCATGGTACGGGCCCCTAAATACCCATTCTTTTGGAGTTCAAAAAAAGAATTATCACGGGCATTTGGAAGTCTGGTTATGGGCTCTTATACTGACATCAGGACATATCTGACATGCACCGTATTGTCTGCTTCAGCCCTAGATTGCTGTCTCTGAAGGGGACGTTCAGAATACATGCTGCAATCCTTGCTTCAAAAAATTACAATCTCCGTCAGCCCACAATCATAAAGCGTCCCATTGTGGTATTTCATACTCTATTGAAAATATTTAAGGGGCTTTGAATGTTACGGGATTACATCCGTACTTATAGACATGCACGTCTACCATCTCTATCTTCCGGGATTTGAATTAATATGCAAATATTTACAATTATATTCAACTCCTGTGGAGGTGTATATATATACACATATAAGTATATATATATATATATGTACATAAATTTGTACAGGTTTGTCTAGTTTTATTGCTCGTTACTTACCAAGTTTCCAGACGCAGAAATCTGCTTGTGCCGAGGCCGTTGCCCTTCATCTTCTGCCATCGCCGGCCAAATGATAGATGGGTTGAATCCCCAAAGCGATGGATTGCAGACAGGCTGAACGAAGGTTTGACGGTCGATTGTTCTGGGATGGGGGGAAGCACGGTATGGATTGTGGGGATGCAACTTGGGGATATTTTTATACTGTTTGTGGCTAAGTTGTGTTTTGGATACCGTGGCTATCTTTTTGTCGCTACGGTGCCCAATGTTGCGGGAAACCCACCGTGGACGGCGGTCTCTATGTGGGGTTTCTGACATAGCTGTTTATTGCATGCATGACCCATGCAAAGTTAGGATGCATTTGTGGCAGGTTCCATGCATGCGACAACATCCACCAACCTCCAAGGTCCATGAGACGCACATTGTTTAGGAAATTTGTAATGCCTATGTCATGCCTTTAAACTACATGACATGAAAACTTACATAACAGCTTCAACCATGTTCAGAGCTACCCTGCCCAACAAAGCCTGAAGCGGCGTATGGGGCGAGGCTTACCAGCGCACACTGCCAGCCAAGAGCTGTCAAGAACAAGGGGCCGTCATGGTGCCCCGGGTGTTATTCGCCGTTATCGTGATGCCATACGGGATTATAAAGGTCAATATGTAGGATATAAGGCGACGGCTTCGCGAAAACACGGGGACCCACATCGTCAAAATTGTGTTGTTCGGGGGTTTCTTGGGGCTCATCAAACTGAGACCCCCAGAAGATGAAAACTAAACGTCAAGAAGTACTTTCACAAGGTTGCTTTTGCAAAATGGAAGGGCCTTATGGAAGTATTTGCAGGATACTGATGTCCTAAAAACTGGGCAAAACATCCCTGAGCCTTGCCACAATCACAAAACAGCAGAAATGATTGCCCATTTCATGCCGACGAAATTCGTCCAAAGTAGAATTCGAACACAACTTTATACATGCAGGGGCCAACCAATATGTGCGTCCAGGAAGCTTTCCCGATGACGATGGGAGCATCAAAGCAGCAAACTCATAACCTTTTTCTAATATGTCCTTATGACGAGAATGATTTGCCTCATTGCCCTCCACATTTTGCTAGCAAGAGCAGATACGAGGTTTGTCATCTTGGTTGCCTATTGCGAGTGCAACAAGAGAAGCACTGAAACACGACTAAAGCGCAAATCCACGATCCTCTTTACTGTATGTTTTTACCGAAAACCGACAAACCACTCAACAAAATTTGGCGACTTGAGTTGCAAACGTGCGTTTTGCCCGCCCCCCCCCCCCCCCCCCTCCCCGTATAAGAGGAAGCTTGCACCACATGAGCGAGACACTGGCAAATGGCATCCAGAAGGGCTTTGTGCCACAGTAGCGCGAAAAGCGCATACCAGAAGGACCAGCTGATCACCTGGTTGCTCTATATATACCCATTATGGTAACCCTAAACCCTAAACCCTGAACCCTATATAACCCCATTATACTAGTTTCCATTTTCTTTTCCATTATCCCTATATATACCCATTATGATAAC